CCTGCGCGCTCCGCTCCGCGGGGCACCGGGGCGGCCTGGCCGCGCGCGGGGCGCCCGGCCCAGCCTTTGGACCCGCGTCCTGCCCCCCGGGAGGCGCCGGGACCAACAAGCCCCCTTTTATGGGTGACCATCGTGGACACAGGGGTGCAGACGGACACGGACCAGGGCTTCCCACTCGGGGCATCCAGCAGCTTCCCCCAGGGACGGGCYGGGAGCGGCTCTGCTGGGCCCTGCGCCTTTCCCCATTCAGCAGCAGACAGGGCCGCCCCCGTGGCCCCCGGCCTGGAGAACGCGGCGGGCAGCGGCGCGATGCCCCACGCGCCACGGCGGGTTCAGCACGTGGCGCCATGCGCCCGGCCCGGGCTGCGCTGCAGGAACGGGCRCACACAGCCCTGCCATGTTGCTTTCCTAAAGCAACATCCGCCTAAAGACATTTATTATTGAGCACCCTGTGTGCTCAGCCCCCAACATCATCGAGTTGCGAACACACTTGTTTACAGCAGCGTTGGCATCACGTGGCCTACAGAGAAAGGGGCTGCAGCTCCTCTGCAGCGCCCTGGTGCATGCAGGCCACACTGCAGCCACCACGGCCTTGCGCCCGCCCCACGGCACCGCATCCCCMAGGGCCCCAGCACCCACCGTGTCCAGGGCCGGCCCGGGTAGTCAGGCTGGAGATGGGGTCCCTGCCCATGCAGCAAGAGGGGATAGACCCTTCCTTCCCATCCTGACACTTCCTTCCCAACACGGCGTCCTCGGGTCCATGCTGAGCGGGGGACACACACAGCCCCAGCGCAGTGCCAGGTGCCTGGCCTGTGCCAGGCATCMTCCATCCGCATCCAGCTCGTGCAGCAGCACCTGACTCACTGCAAAGAAATAGATCCAAGTTTTTTTAACCTGCATTCGGATGAGCTGCCCCAGGCCTCACATCTGCCCCTCCAGGGATACACACCCAAGCAAGAACCATCCCAGCCTCTCCTGGGGACTGAGACCCAGGGGCTGGGAATACCCAATGCTCCTGGGTCAGGGTTTCTGGTCAGCACAGACAGGAATGCATGACACTGAAGACACCGAGTTGAATTYTGTGCCCATTACTGTAAACAAAGGCCAGGGCTTAAGGCAGAAGCCTGCAGAGTGTTTGCAGGACTGGGATCTTACTTACCATTCCTTCCTTATCATTTGCCAATGGCTATTTTAAAGCATGCAAGAGCTCAGCCTAGACACGAATAGGGTGTTTCTCTTCCAGTGCCTCTATTCCCAGGCACTCCCTTTCTGCAGAGAGACGTTGCTAGTCTAGACAGCAACGTGGCCATATTAGCACTGAAATTCCCATATTTTCTAACTCAACAGTGGTGGAATCTTGCTCTGCAGCACAGATACACTCTTAAAAAYGTATCTTCAAAAAGAAACTGATAGAGTGAGACCCAAAGGCCTGCGAGAGGACACTCTTGCTGTGAGGTCTGGGGCACCAGCAAGAGCTAACTTCATCTTGCCCATTTAGATCCAAAAGCTGTGTTTATTTTTCCTCCATTTCTGGAACTTGAGAGCTAGCACAAGCCCCCTCTGCAGGAAAAAAAATGTGCTTAAATACTGTCTAACCTATTTTCCTGGAATTTCTCTCCTGTACTTTAGTGCAGCTTTGTTTTTGTACTTCCCTGCTATGAATTATCTCTGGCAGTTGGGGAATACACTGTCTCCTGCTTTCGAGGAGGAATGTCTCTGCCCTCTTTTCCACCAAGTGACCAGGACTGAGGGCATGTGCTTCTCCGTGTGCTCCCTGGAGATGGAGAGACATCTGTGGCCTCTTGACTAATGCAGGGCCACCTGCAGACTCAGAAACTAACCTGAGGAACAAGGCAGATAAATAATGAATTCTTGCYATCTTTATCCTCAAGACAAGCATAAAATAAATTCTGTGAGGATATTTGACTTTAAAGCTTTGCTAAAAAAAGACACTTCGCAAAACCTTTAATGCTGGTTCAGTGAACTCCATTTTGATGCCTTTTTTTTTTGCAGCTCTCCTTCCCTAGGGATGTCTGTCTGTGTATCCTGAGTTATGCCCAAGACATCTCCTCAACACTTCTCCTCTCTGTTTCTTCCACGCATGTGCAGTGATGGGCAAATGGGAGTGCAGTAACTGGTAATTCACCTAGCCAATTTTAATGGGTACTTCAAAATTTACGCTTTCAGTTGGTTCAAAAAAAAAAAAAAATCAAAAACCTTCACACTCATACCAACCAACAGCAGAAACCTGGCAATGCACAGAACATGGGAAGGGAGCTTTTTTAATGGGATATTTTAATTCTAGTGAGAGCCTGCCTGACTGGAAATTTGCTGCAGGTGCTGTGAGCTGGGCAGCACTGCGACCTGCCAAATAACAGGCAAAGTGCTAAAAACACCCTTGGAGTCTGAGCCAGGCCCCTTGGTCGCGGCTACATCTCTAGCAAAGGTTCAGGTTCAGCACTGCCCTGACTAACTGTGGAAACTGTCTCAAAAACCACCCTCACCAGCTCTAGTTCCTTCCTATGTTGCCATTCATTTGGTCATTTACATCTCTCCAAGATAGTTTTAAAATGATAACAAAATGCAAATGCTGCCCTTGCATCTGCAGATGCAAGTGACCGTCGGATACATGACAGGGATGGTCAGGCTCAGCTACGGCTTGCCATGGCAGGTCGGATGAGGAAGGCCACATTTTGCTGGGATACTGTACACATCATTCACAGTTAGTAAGTCATGATAAGCAGAGTAAATCCCCAAGATGCAGTCTGAAAGTTTTCCGTTCTATGGACTCTTTTCTTTCAGGTCCCTATCCCCCACAAGACAGCCCAGTGTCCTGTCACGAACAGAAAAGGTCAAAGCAGCCATGTTCACAGATTCACAGATTCACAGAATATTTAAGCTTGGAAGGGACCTCTAGAGATCATCTAGTCCAACCTTCCTGCTCAAGCAGGCACACCTAGAGCATGTGGCACAGGGTGGCATCCAGGCGGGTTTTGAAGACCTCCAGAGTAGGAGACTCCACAACCTCCCTGGGCAGCCTGTTCCACCACAGACACTTTTTGCCCATCTGTTCTTAACACTCCAGGGCTGTTGGGTCAAAACTTCAGCCCAGTGCCCTGCTCCACCTCATCTGCACAGCCTTTGGCACCAGAGGCCGTTCCACAAGGCTCTTCCCAGTGTTTCCACCAGAAGTCCCACACCTCCAGGCCACGGTTGCTGCCAGAGGTGACACATGTGGTTGGCTCCAGGAATGGTGCCACAGGGAAGACAAGGCCTCCGCCCCTGCCCCATCTGCTGCAGGCAGCTCCCTCCGACTGCAGCCCAGCACTGCCTGCAGGGTCTTCCCCAGCCAGGTCTCAGGCAACAAAACAGCAGAGGAATATGGCAAAACATGGAATTCCCTGGAGGCAAGAATCCTTTATGGATCCCTCGTCCTTGTGGTAGCCAAATGGGTCCACGCAGTCAATACTGAGGAGAAGGAGCAGCAAGGAAGCAATTAGAGCTACATCAAATTAGCTCAGCCTCTGTATTTGCTAATTTTTAAGATTACTTCTTTCTCATGATCAGATATGGGCAAAAATTAAATTGTCAAACTGGATAGTTTAACTTGCAATATATGTATAGCTATATACACAATACAGAAAGTGTGTACAAAGACAGAAGAATTCTGAATGTTACTACTTTGGATATTTTTCATGTTATAGGAGAGAAGGATTCAATGAAGCGTGAATGATTTTTTTAAAAGAACAGATTGCCATGTCTGTTAAAATAGGTCAAGTTTTTGGCCTAGTTTCCTTGATAGTATCCCTTCAAGCAAGGGAGTCTGAGGATCTACTATAGTGTCACTGCTTTTTTATTCTTAGCCACATGGATGCATGGCTCTAGTCGTAAGGCAGCAATGTGCCTACATCAGAATACAATGCCAGACACCAGGTGTGTCAAGCAACATTGCTGAACAATTTAGCATGGTAAAATCCCTTTATCTGTCTGTATAAGGTTACTTAGAAACAAACAGATTTCCGTCATGACTTTCCCTTCTGCCATACATGCACACATGCATATATTTATATATGTAAATATGGACTCGGATGAGACTTGTCACCCTACTTGCTTGCCCCAGAGGCAAAGGTGGGAGCTCTCCACATACCCATTCCCATCAAGTTGCTCCAAAGGGAGAGTGCCCTCAGACACAACCTATCTGAAATGCACCTCAGCCGGGTGAGACTCTGCACTGACCCTCGAGCACAATCATAATAAACATTACTTGGTTCACAGCGTTGTACAGTAATAAACATACTTGTCAGTGCACGCTCAGAGAAAGAAGAGCAATTTAGAACAACAAGGCCTATTCAGGCATACATTTAGAATTCAAATCTTTTGCTACCTGGGGAGGTCATAAGGAAAACTGTTCATGATTCCAATTAAGCTGTGATTGAAGGTAATGCTAAGGCTTCTCCAGCGCTGATCACATTACAACATGGAAAAATAAGCCAGGCCTCTAATAAATGAGACAGTTTTGAGAATACCTTTGTTTTAATGATTAACATTGTTTTGCAGTGAGATTTGTGGCTGTAACCACCATCATAGGTGGAGGCCTTTGTTCTGTACCTGCTCAGACTTTGCATCCCCTACTGACAAATCAGTGTGAACTATTAAATACCTGGCTCTGTGTGCATGCTAGGCATGGGCTTAGGACACAAAAAGGCTTGAGAAAGTGGTGGAGCATCTCTCTCTCTATGCTGAATATCACAAAGTGCAGGAAAAGGCATCTAGAGATCTCTGAAGGACGTCAAGTCGTGAGCAATTCTCCTTGACTCCTGCGGCTTCCCATGGGACAAGAACACAACACATACAAATACAGTTTGAGTTTTCACATGGACGGTTCCTCCCTGGACTGCTCATATAACAAAAATTTCCTTCAGTTCAGAGCAGATCTCACATAGGYTGCTTAAATTCTTCCACTAAAAATGCTAAGAATATTGTTTTTGTCTGCTACAACCTAAATAATTGAGATACCAGACAGATTTGTGCTGCCACTGATAAGTRGTAGCAAAATATTAACATACCTGCAATGACATCACTTCCAAAGACTGAAAAAGTCCTATATGCAAAGGAAGGTGTTCCTCAGCATGAAGCACAAGTATGTGATTGCAGACTTGCTCAGGAACACTGAAGGACTGAATCTCATTCCTTCATGCTCTGAGTCAAACTGAAGAAAAAAAAAAAAAACATATTTTCTGTTTGTATTAGATTCAAAAACTTCAAGGAAGTTCTCTTAACCAGTATAGAGTTTAGTGGGCCATGGATGTTAGTTTTTCTTATCAGCATAGAACAGAAGAAACAAAGGCCTTGTGTAGTGCTGTCTACTGATGGCACTATACCTAGGTGTGGGCTCTTCACGCTGTCACCCACCTCYATGGAAGTTTATGCTACATAGCCCTGCAGCCAGCAACTCAACTGGATTTCGTGTGGGAAACAGCCACTCTAATAGCAATGCAGCTGGGATGGCAGCACGCAGGAGGACCACGTTGTGCACTTGAGCAAGCGCCCGACTCGGCTGTGCGAAGGACAGGGTTTTATCCTGTTGGCCTGAAGCAATCTTGTGCGGAGCTAGAGCCAAGAACTTTGAAAGAAAATGTTGCTCGTAATCCATCTGGCTGAAATCTTATCCTTATCCTATCTGAGCACTGGATCTAGCTCAAAGCCAAAATTAGGCTATCAGGAGAGGTACTACAGAACTGGGGTGAAGCCAAATGACTCTTGAGGGAACGGGTCCAGGGGCAGGTACCCACAGGAATCTGTGGTCTTAACCAACATCATTGGGTTGGACCCTGAACCTAGAAATAAACAATAACAAAAACAACCAACCAAGCAAACAAAGGGCAGATCAATGTAAACAGGAGCACAATGAACATCCTTTATCAAAATGCTTCCAGCAACTTCAGAATTTCTTGCAAAAACTGCTAATCAGTGGAGCAGTTACAATATCACTACTCTTACAAATCAAAACTGCACACAGCCAAGAAACAGCTGTTCCCACACTCTACAGCTTCTAACATTTCTCTAACAACTGAAAAGAAAAACAGACTAAAGTATAAACTTCAGCGTGAGCTAGCACTTCATGCCCTCTGTTATGTTTAATGTGAGCTCAAGAGATGATTGATGTATTTTAAACTTAATAGCTTTTTAATAAAATGTTATGTGTGAAAATATGGAAATCAGGATAAAAGCTGCCAGTTTGTGACTGATTTGTTTGGAGGATAGGGTGAAGTGTGGAGATTATAATGGATAAAATCCTGACCTCTGCTGTTTGGGATACTGCTCAAAGTTTTTTAGCAGTTTTCATTTGAATGAACCTCTGTTGAAGCAGCTAAGTTTATGTAATACAAACCAGAGCATGCTGGGGCTGGATGTGTTACACCACTGTTTGGAGAAAGAAATAAATACCTCAGGAGGTCAGCTTCCTAACTCGATCTACTTGTAACTTTCCCCATGGGACATGGTTTCTTGTACCTGTATGAGGCTGATTATTTTGTAATTGGAAGCAGCAAAAAGAAAAGTCTGAAGACAAGAGAAAAGGGTATGTGGCCATCCCTAACATGCAGAGAGCAAATACTGAACAGTACACGGTACACAGCAGCAGTGGGGCACATCCCTGATGCTCTACCAAGACCTATTTTACCAAAATGGAGAATAGGTATGAAATACTAATATGTTCTACAGGAGGAGCCTTTGGAGACTTCTGACAGATCATACAAAATGGTTGTTCCCACTTCCTCCTCCTTTTGGCAGCTCATTTTCTGTCCTTCAGAAAGCATGGAGCAGATCTCCAAGGGGAAGAAGCAAGGAGAGTTTTCTCTCTGCTCTTTGTTTTTACTTTAACCTTGACGATGAGCTGAATCCCATTTTGCTAATTAAAATTTCCCTTGTGTTGTTTTTAGAGTTTTGTTTTCCTCATTCCTTCTGTCAGCTTTTAAAATATCCTGCCAAACTCTGGTGGCCCTCAAGGTCAAGAGTCATCCTGGTCAACCCAGGTTTAGGATCGTCGCTATTCTTATAGTGCTACCGAGGCCAATTCAACAAGTTTGAGGTCGGCCTTGGAACAATCCCTCCCTCTGACACAGATCAGGAGGGAGGTTGGCCAGAAGTAACACTTAGACCTTTATAAAGGCAGCAGAGACTCGGCTTAGAGACGTGCCTATCTGGGCTTTTAGAAAGGGTGGGCTGTGACCATGGCCTGTGGCTCCCTGGCAGGGAGCTCCCATAGCAGTAACTCGAGCTGGGCCCTCACGGTCACCACAAGAGCAGCCAAGTGCATGCAGGGCAGTAAGAGCGAGCGGAGAGCATCTTTAGAAACTGCCACAACAGGTTAAGAGAGCCGGGCAAGCCACAGGCCGCCGCGGCCTCCCTCCGCGAGCAGCAGCACTGCTGGAGACGCCGCTCAGAGASGGGGAGCACAACAGTGCAAATGGCAACTTCACGCGCAGAAAATCTGCTTGAAAAGTTACCACAATTAACTACTTGGCTTGGAGTCGCCTTAGCTGTATCAATGTGAGGTGGAAGAGAAGGGGAAGGTGTCGGCTGTGCTCAGGCCACATGGAAGCCATGAGGAAATGAAGGTCCCAGGCCCAAACCCTGCCCTCGCTGCGCTGGTGCAGCTCATGGCGGGTGATCCAGCAGCACTGCGGTGTCCGGGGACAGATTGCCACGGCAGACACAGAGCTCTCCGTCTAGCTCTCCTATACCCATCCAAAAGSAAGCGGTATGCTGCCGAGTGACAGATAGGGGGCTAGAAAAAAACACTGGTTTTAGTATCACACACAGTGCATTTAATCTGAAAGTACTGACGCAGACATAGAGCATGCTCATCTTACCAACGTGCCAGGTTTGTCCCACTGTGTGATATTTTCATAATTTCATTCTGTTTTTATTTTCATTTTGAGGGATTTGTTGAATAGGAGGTTCAGCAATCTCGATAAATGGTTGCCTTTTGTAGAATAATGTTGCTCTGCTTTTCAAATTTGTTCCTTTCCTTTCTGAAAGCACATGCAAATTAATGAAGAATAATCATAGCTTAGTCATAAAAAACAATCTGTCAATATTTACATGGTGCTCTTTCATTTCTTGATCTTGCTTTGCTAGTTTGATACTTAAATTAAGCCCAATATGCATCATCAAGCCACGGATCTAATAACTCGAGAAGCTGATGTTTTGAGATACATTTGCATTAGCAAATTAAAATCCAAATGGAATGAGGAAAAGTGTCCTAGCACAATTCAAAATAATTGCTAAGGGACAGGTCAGGTTATAATAAAATGGGTGGAAAGGAAAAAAACAAAAAGCTGMAGGCAGGCAGCCTCCTCCCAACAAACAAGTCCCTGTGTGCAGTCACGAGGAGGCTTTGGGGACCACATTTGCAATGTTCTTACACTGAAAACTTACAATTGCTTCAAACATCTTTTCAAACAAAAAAATGCAGTTATGACAATTACGCCAGATCCATTTTAAACTCTTTAGCTTTTTTTTTTTTTTTTTTTTTTTTTTTTTTTTATATATATTATTCTTGTTAGGGGAGTAAGGAAGTTCTCTCAGAAAGAGGAGAATGAGAGCTCAAAAGCTCCCAGCTGCAGTTTCATGCAGTGGCAAGTGCTGGTGGTCCATGCACCGTGCACAAGACAGAGCAGAACAAGAGCTATGGGGCAGCTTTTCCATCTCACGGGCATTAAACCTGCAGAGTCCAATTTGTTCAGGATCACACTTGGATACTCACAGATAATTCAGCATAAATATAATTTCTCATACCAGAAGTGGAAGTTCTTTCTTTAGTGCAATAGGAGCAGACCCACTGCTTTAACATGGGGTGCCAGAGCAGGGAGGTGAGCTCTTCGTCTCCTCTCAGTTTCCTTTTCTTTGCAAACGTGTAAGCCTAGCTGCATCTGAAACCAAATTACCAGAGTATTTACTGCACAGAATAGCCCACAACAAGCATGAAACCAAAAGTGCTGCTACATATATGCAGTGTGTTTCTTTTAGAGGGTTTCCACCCAGAAGAGTGATTGCTTGCTGTAGGAAAGTCCACCTCATTGAATTTTTTGATTTTCTGGGTTATCATTCTCAGATTTATTTGAAGTACAATTTTTTTCAGCAAGAGCAGCAATAGCTACTACTGGCCCTGGAAGACCAGCATCTCATCTCCAGGTGTATAGGGTAGTTGCCACCGGTGGCCTTTTTCAGGCAGTGAAATAACACAGCTGTTAACAGTGAAAATAAGTTACTACTTCAAATTTCAGTACACAGGTCTCTGTGCGTTTCTGTAGTTTAGAAAAAAAGAACAAGTTTAACTATGTAAATCCAGCTTGAGCTGTGCAAGAACAAATCAGTCTGGGCTTTGATCAATTTATGAAGAGACTCAAAAAACACATTTTCTATCTTCCAACAACTGCTAACACCAGAATGAAGAGATCCACTTACCTTTAGTACTGATCATGTCAGGGATAAGAGGCAGATTTTTGTGTGTTTCATGCTAGTGTCAAGAAATTTAGATGCCTTTTGAAAGGAATCTTATGAAGGACACTATATCATACTGAAAGTGTGATTGTTTCCCTTCCTCAGCAAAAGTATAAGCAACAGACCCTCTCAGCAATGTTCTTTATGGCGTATACTTCATTATTGCCCAGTGAAGCTCTATACCAAATTTGTTTGTAAAGCTAGAAAGCTTTTTCACCGAAGTAAAAACAAACTAGTTGTTTGCTGCAAAGTTACCTCTTCACTTGTTTGCTGCTTTGCTTGAGTCCGGTTTCCCTCCTCCACTGAGCACGGGCACCTCCCTCAACCCCATTTCTCTTGCTTCTTATGCAATCCATGAATATCTCTTCACACCTAAAAATCTCTCGGGACTTTAATACTTTTGGGGGCTATCAATACAGCATCCTCAGAGAAGGTACCCAGGCCATAGCAGGAGGGAAGGGCTTTCTAGGTGAGCATTACTGAAATAATTCACCCGATGAACTGCCATCCGATTCCTCCACACCTTGAGGAACAAAAACACAATATGAGATGTCCCAATACCCACAGCTATTTCCTAATGATGCAAARTTTTTGATTTGCCCAGGTGCTTATTGACAACATAAACTTAGCATTAAATTACTTCCCAGTGTGCGCAGGCCTGTACCCAAAAGCCCTGGCCAGGGGGTGAATGACAAACTTGGCACATTTGCAACACGGTTTGGAAGCCAAGTTCACTAYGTGACCCTGCAGCTCGCCTCCATCCAAGCACTCTCGTGCACACCAAACTGGTAAACGCAGCAGATTCGAGCTTTTCTCTATAGTACATGTCCCTCCTAAAAATCCCCTGTATAAGCATTTTTGCTACTGAAGCTCCACCAGTGCTTCCAACTGTAGGAGGGCTGGCATTTTTGCAGCTGGAGTATTAGRATCCTGTACAGGGTCTCCCCTGCTCCCTTGAGGATCTCTGCAATTAATGAGGAATACAGGACYGAGGCTGGCATGCGCTTGCAGCCTAGGGGGTGCAGGGCTTCATATCTCCCCCTTTCATGCAAATCCTGCTGCTGGCTCTCCCCCCGGAATCCCTATTTCCCTGGAAACTGCTGAGCGAGACAGACTAAAAGTTCAGTCTGAGGAGGCTGAAAACAATAAAAGCTCTGATCTACTTATGAAAAATGCTACAAGAGAGCCAGGCTCTATATTATTATACTGTGTAATGTAYTATAGTAATACATTATTACAATTGAAGCAGTTAAGTTCATTTTCAAAGGGATGATGTGTGGAGATGAACATTCATCAGATTATCCCCATTACTACTGGGGAGGTACACTTTACATTGATTTTCATATAAACATCATATGATCTTATGTGGTGTGCAGGCGAAGAGCTGGAATCCATTAAAAACATGCTCCAGCTGTGCAATCACTGTCCTCCCAGAAATACATTTTTACATGTGGTTAATGCCAGGAAGACTCTACAGCTTCAATTATGAGAACATCAAAATATGTTGTTTGTTGCAGGGGAGAAAAAAAAAATCATTTGCAGCTAAATCTGTCTGGATTATAGTTGTGGGATTATCTGCATCTTAAATTACTGTATATGTTTTACTCCCAAACAGGAGGGCAGGCATTGAGGGAGATGGATGACTGTGCAGATCACAATAAAACTCATCCCCAAGAGACTTCTTCCTACGCGAGGTAAACAACCCCTCTCAGTTTATCCGGCGCTCYGGATTGGATTAACGCAGTTGCCTCCTCTCCTGCCGCGGCATGGAGGAATCGGGGCTGTCTTGAACGGCTCGCCCGGCATCGCGAGCCTGACAAAGGTCCTCCCTGTTCCCCACCGCTGGGGGAACACTCATCACGTCTGCGATACTGAATTAAAGAAAATACAACTGCAGTTTAGCGTGTAACCAAAATAAACAGGTTACACTCCATATTAAGGGACAAGATTACCTCTRGTTGCTGCGTTTGAGGGCCCCTTCCCCTCCCCCTTGTTTACGCGCTGGCTTGCTCGCTTCCGAAGGACATGCAGCCACCGGACCCGCATCGACCTGACATGTAGCATCGCTGCCGCTTTCCCCTCGGGCACTCCACGGATGGGCCAGCTGGCACCACGGAAAGACATGAGGGAAGGCACAGGAGCAGCAGGAGGTGCCGGATGGGCCTTYGCCGTGAGTGCACGGCCAGGGCACCTGCCTGCGGCCGCAGCAAGATCAGCTAGGCACGGAGAATGTGGCTTTTGTTACTCACTGTCACTTTCTCGATGCTTCTGGTGCAAGGTTGTGTGATTGTAGCTGAGAGGCACAGGGGGGCTCTTCCAGGGAAGGGGCCAGKAGGAGGTCTGGCTTCCCGGCTTCCCAGGAGCAGATGGAAGAACACGGTCCCCACCACCCCAGTCAAAGACTGCATGCAGTTCTGTGAACAGGTTAAATACAATTTTGGAACCTGGTAGTGGCAGGAAGAAGTCTTAACCAGCGAGTTCAGATACATCTAAATTTATTATTTGTAGTAGTATTAAAGAGAAACTGTGGGGCTATAATGAATGGAAGCCATGGGAATTAGGACATGGCAGTTGTTCCCAAACGGTGCTCGTGTGGCAATAGATTCGCAGTCTCAGCCCTTTTGGGTGTTTGCAATAAAGCAGCATGGATGGTGCCCTTCAGCTTTWCTCCATCAAGCAAAGGGGTAAATTTCTCACAATTTCTGGCACTATTCTACCTGTTGTGATGAATGTCTGGAGGCTTGCGTATAATTTCACTGTGTTTTTATGACCTTCTCTGACAGGTACTAGTTGACCAAGTACACAAAAGGCTGGTTGTTACACGAACCTTCTCCAGACCAGCGTTTTCCCACAGCTAACCCAGAGGCAGTAACACAAGACGATTTAAGGGTAGAAAGTCAACGCCACCTAGATACAAACATCCCAGTGAGAGGGAAAGAGCCAAGCTCAGGTCTACCCTGCGTCAATACTGCAACATAACTGCAAAGACACGAAACTGCACAGTATCAATCCCAGGATGGTCCCTGTTCTTGTTCTCTGCCATAAAGATCACACACTGAATGGAAAAACTTGAAAAATAGGCAAGGCTTTGGTGATGGCAGGTGAGTARTGAAGGTATATGGGACAAGCACTATTCTTCTAAATTGAGCCAAACTCACATATCAAACTCGAAAGGAACTTCGGAAGGAGACAATGGTTTCAYACCATATTACTAACATACACGTGAGTGTATATATACACACACACTTTGGARGGATTACAGCACTACAAAGATTTAAAGTGAAAGAAGAAATCTTATTAATCTCAAACAGCACAACATAGTTAWAGGAGAAACAATAAAACAGGAGGTTCCATGTTACTTGCAGGAATTTCCCCCCCATCTCTTATATGTTCATTAGGCATTTCATTTTAGGTAGGCCATACTTTAAAATTATTCCCTCTGTCCTGAGAAACCAAGCTGTAAAGGACAATATTAACTCAGCTCGCATGTTTTTACGTCCAGACAACATGCTGCAGTTAACAGGAGCAGAGTTTTAGACGATGGATCCATTTCCATTCAGAGGGAGATGAAACAAATTTAGCGATGTGATTCAGCAATGTAGTTAGATAACAGCTCATGTGCTCAGTACTATAAATGGCCYTAACCACTTTCCCGGGAAGAGGAAAAAAAAAAAGAAGAAAAAAAAAAAAGACTGCCACTTCGTCAAAAATCTTAAACGAGACTGAAGTCTTTGTCAAGCAAAAGATCTACGAAAGTTCCATGAAGGTAGGGAAAAAGATACCTGCAGATTTTACATGGGCAGTGCTTTCTTTAGGGTAGGTTTGCAGAGCCACTCACAGGTGTCACTGTCACCTTTGTAAAAGCCCCCAGCACAAGTTGAGGCCCTCGGCTATAAAACCCTGCATGCCCCATACACGGGAGGCCAGCACTTACCTACGGCTCTTCAACATGCACTAGGAAGACACAGTTTATTTTCATTTCCCATTGGCTTCTCATTGCACAGAGAAAAACAACCATAAATGGCCTGGAATAGAGTTACTTGCAGCTTTATTGTGAATGTCACAGTCTAAAAGGCTGCATGGAAAATACACCACACCCTTGGTGGAGGTGGTTGCTCCCAACCTGGCCAGCTCTCMGTCACTGCCTCTCACTGCCGCTGAGCTGCACAGGGCAAGGACACACGATTGCAGCTCATGCTGCACGGACTTCARACACAGAGGGGGAAGGAGGGGGAAAGCACCGTTTTTTCCCCCCAAAGGTTTTCTCAGTCCTTAATTTCTATTAATTTCCATTATGTGCTAGGTGATATCTCTACCTTTCCATGTACCTGATTGAAAAACAGCCAGATAAACCTCCTCTAACTTCGGTTCTTTGCACTTTCATAAATGATGCAC